CCGACAAGTTTTACAAAGCTGTAGAATACCAATTGGTATGTGATCAGCAGACACTTAGGGCGCTGTACACTAGTATTTGATAGAATGGATAGCCGCCGTTATGCCATCTATAGCAACCCCTTGGTATTGTTCTACTAGCCATGAAAAAGCCGGTTCAAACGCCTGACATGATAATAAAGTGTAACGTGGACTATCAAAGTGATAGCTAGAGGGTCAATGCAAAATATAACTCCTCCGGCAACAGGTACCAGGAGTCTCAAAATTCTAGCTTTCAATGTGATCGGGCAGGAAAGTAATTTAGGGTACCCGATAGCCATTGGATAGGGGTTAACGCCCTTTCACAATCAGTGCACCCTCCCACTCCAGTGTTCGTAAAACTCAACATACCATGTACCCTGCAACACATCAAAACCGGCTATTGCCCTTGCAGCCTTACCGCTCTTTCATTAATGAACATCTCTGCTAGATCTTGGTCATGCCAACACTCCATGGGTCTGACAGACAGCACTGTCACAATAACGCCACACTCAGGCCCGCCCAGCCGTGATGAGATAGTATCAAGTTCTTAACACGGTACTTGATCCTTCTCGGCATCTGTCTTGCCTCCATAGCCGGTTCATAGCCGAAACACTCACCAAGCAAAGCGGGTGGCTGCATTCAGCTTGTACTCCCCAGCTATCATTAACTGGCCCAAGAGTCAAGCCCAAGTCAATTGCCGTAGGTGAACGGGAGACGATAGGGTATCAAGATAAGCTCTTTTCTCTTGCTTTAATTCTATCCCCTCGTTTTCTTCAACATTCCAGGAATGGTTAATCTTTCCCTTAGACTTCGTACTATATAGTTATCCTGGGACCAATTAACTTCAATCAACCAAATGAAATAACTGGTGGCGACCTTTTTTTCCCCCTTTTTTGTAGGGAAATGGCAAACGCCACCTTTTTTTGTATCTGAACTGTTGAAGTCGAGGCGCTGTGGAAGAGATTTAACCGAATGATTTCCGAGTATTAGGAAAATATACGATGAGTTGTTAACGGTCAGGAGTTCAGTGTAGTCAGGCACAGCTGGATGTACGGATTGCACAGAGGATATTCATGTTAGCCAGGTGGTTCATAGTACTTAATCAGCTCTGTAGAGCCTATGGGGAGTGTTCCGTACCAGAACATAGTAGGGTTCTCATCGACTATCAAATAGTTGACCTTCCAATCTAGTGTAGCAGCGGCGCAAATAATGCAGGCTACGTTGGGTTCCTTGTCTGCTTTTTTTTATTGTATTTCTTGGGCTACCTCTCCTCCATCCTTTTTATCATGATATTTATTCCTTCTATCACCACTTCCCACTCGATCTTGTGTATTCTCTCCTTGAGTGCCTCCAGATCTTCATCCACACCTTTTATAAATGGGATCTCGCGTATCAGGATTGGCTCGCCCATATCAACCTCTGCAATGACTTTATGGATCATGACTCCTGTCTTATCAATTTTGCCTTCTAGCCATGCTTCTTGGGCGCGTTCAATGGCATGCTACCGCCCGGAATTAGAATATTAAGCAATCATAGCTAAACAAAGTCCCATGTGGGAAGCCTCATGACTTACAGTTCCGTTGAATGCGCCCGGTAGTGCGGGGTGCAGATTTATAGTATCCAAGCCTGCCTTTGCCATTGGATCCAGGAACTTCTTTGATAGCACATACATAAAACCTAGACAGACAACAAGGTCAGGCTTATCGTCCAGTACTATCCGTGCCAACTCGGTGTCATATTCCTCCCGAGCTTTCTTTACACCCTCTTCCGTGTTTGGATGTTTTTTCTTGTATGTTAGTAGGTTATGGTATACGGTAGGTATGCCGGCTTTCTTTGCCCTCTCGAGGCCATATGCGTCTTTCCGGTTCGACAGCACTCGCACAACTGTTGCGGGAAGAGTTTTGGCGTCAATGGCATCGATCACGGCTTGGAGGTTGGTGCCGCTCCCGGATATGAGAATTGTGAGGCGCGTAGGGGAATCCATCCTATCTTCAGTGGCCCTTCTTACAGGTCGTGTCATCAGTATCGCAAATAATGAAAACTTCCAATAATATTATCAAAAATGCGCTTCGAACTTTTTCGACCCCGCCAGTTGTTTATCCCTAGATTACGTAAGAGTGACATCACGTGTAGATTATATAGTAATATCTTAGTCATCAAGCGCACTTTCGCTTATTTTTTTCTTTCCACGAAACGATCTTTTTTTTTTATTTTCTCTTTCTTTCGTTCGTTTGACCAGCAAGCATCAACAACGTCCAGTCAACGCGACCTTCTTTCGACAACGAGGACAGACAGCAGACATCCGTCGCAATGGCCAAGGCTAAGAAGACCACCGATACCCTCTCCTCGCGCCTTGCGCTTGTGATGAAGTCCGGCAAGGGTATGTTGCTGCGCCTCGAGACGTGTGAAGAAGATGTTTATGCAGAAAGCTAACGAGCTGAATCATGACAGTCACCATGGGATCCAAGTCTACCCTCAAGACCCTCCGCTCTGGCAAGGCCAAGCTCATTCTCATCGCCGGAAACTGCCCACCTCTGCGCAAGTCCGAGCTCGAGTGTAAGTTATCATCAGACTGGCGAGAATATCAAGACCTGACGCTGACCGATTGCGTATATAGACTATGCTATGCTTGCCAAGGTCCCAGTCCACCACTTCCACGGAAACAACGTAAGTACTCAATCGCCTATATCTCCTTGTTGAAAACCAAAAAAAGAAAAAAAGAAAATCCTGGAAAAAAAGTGAAGTACTCGATGCGCGTATTCGTTCAGAATACGCGTGTGGAGGAAAATACGCAATAAGACAGCTCTATCTCCTCCATTTGCTCTGCGAAGAAGTTACACGTAGTGGACTATCTCTATGGTGACTTTGGAGAGTAGTAGTTGCTCTGAGAAGGGATTTCCCTCCCACATGCTATTTTTGTATACCATGTGCTGGGATATTGCTGGAGAGCTTGGCTAACCGCTTGGAACGTTGATTACGTTCGCCCGTATAGATTGAACTTGGAACTGCCTGCGGTAAACTTTTCCGCTGCTCTACCATGGCCATCCTCGACGCTGGTGACTCCGACATCTTGACCCGCGAGGCATAGATGTGCATTGATGTGCGCTGATGTGCTCGGGGCTCATGGCTGCTATGACCAAACGCTAAAGAAACCCCACGCCTGGCTAGGCTGAGAGCGGGAGGGATGAAGGAAGAAAGAAGAAAATATCTGCTGGCGTGCATCGTTTAGCTGTTGAGTCGAATGCCCAAGGAGGGATAAGAGTAGCGCTTCGTCAGCTACTCTCGGCTCTGCTCTCTCTCTTTTGCCTGCAACCTGCTCTGTATTAGTAGCCTCTCTCCAGCACCGAGCGGACCAAAAAAAAGAAACAAAAAACGATACAAAAAGTTATCCAAGCTCCTGCATTGCAACCACCTGGCAGACATCTTTTCCTCTTTGCTGACCATGCGTCTTGGACCGGGGGGGTTCTGTTAGCAATGGCACTGCTCTCCCATGCCACGCTCTGCTCCCACCTTGGGGGTTCAAACTGAAGCAAGGGGTTCATGAGGTTATGATAAATGATTATATTTAGATACCAATCAACGGTTTCCACAAGCGATCAGCTGACCATGTCATCTCGCTCAACCCCTTCGCTGCTTGTAGAATGCTTGAAGCTGTCGTAGAACTATGTATGTACGTACAACGGAGCTAGTAGCTGGCTACCATGTCTCTGTAGTTTACTTGGGCGATAGATAAGACTTGCCCGGCGCTGGCCATCGCGCATTCAAGCAGAGGATGGATGGATGGATGGATGGACTAATGCAGGCGCTGACAAAAACAGAGTCATCTGTAGCTACACGAAGATGACGACGCCGCTGCTTTTTGATCATCTGCCGCTGCGTCCTCCTTTCTTTTTACCCGAAAAGGCCGAGAAGGCGAAGGAACCGGTCGTCGCATGTATGTATGCGCCGAGATGGCTGAAAAGGGGGGAGAGAGACGATGAGTAAAAGAGGCAGCCTGCGTATGCCCGCATGTCGTACTGCAGGCAGATACATACCTAAGTAGGGGGGGGGGGATTCTCTGCTTCCTCGCTGTACGACCAAAGGTCCTCCTCCTCCTCTTCTGGTGCTCGCCGTGACCAGGGACCGCGCAAATGCCGATAGTCCTCGCCTCGGAAAAGCTGCATTTTCGAGGCTGAAACGGCTGGTCAGCTTGTCCATCCAGGCATCGGCCCCAGCTAGTTAGTGCCATGCGCCCTGCAAAGCCACGGCTAAACGGAAGAGGCATATGAACCTCATCTTTCTTCAAAATAAAAAAAACAACTTCAGGGAAAACGCACACCAAGAGTTACATTCGCTAGAGGCCATCAAGCCCAGCCTCAAGGGCTAGGCAGTGCCTCCTCCCCCCGGGGCTGACCGGCCTTCGCAGGGCATATCTCCGCCGACAAATGGTCCGAAGAGGCCTGCTGTCACACATGTTCTTTTTCATTTTTTCAATTCCTCAATTCTCAGGCTGTGGATGGCCCTAATCATTTGGCTTCTCTCCTGCAAGCGAAAGGGGAGTCAAGGTAAAAAATATCCTCGTCCTGAAAAGTTGGCGAGCCTGGTTTTCAACACGGAGAATGAACCACGGAGATCCTCCAGCAGCCCTATCCTGGCCTGGGCCGAGCCTTGGGTCCTTCTGAGGGGCTTCAGTCTGGGGCATGGGTCTGGCTCAAATCCACGCTATATCCAACCGTTGGAAAAGGGCTGGCTGGGGGGGTCTCGATGGACTCAGGAGCAAAAAAAAGGGTTGCCGCCACGTTTTGAGAAAGCAAGATAATTGGGTCCCTTTCTTTTCTCGCGAGGAAAACATTCCCATTCCTGGCAGTCTGTTTATATCCTTCGGGGCCATCGAGGTCGTTTTTGCAAGCTAGCTTTTGCCCTAGGCAGGGTGGGAGGCCTTGATATAAGTTGGTCCATTGAGTTCCGACGCTTCGCTTGTTGCCCGCCGCGCGTGGGAGTTATTAATAAAATCTCTTCACCCGGCAGCCTGTGTGCTGGATACTCTCCCGCCGCCTGCTCTTTGGGATCTCGCTGGCTGGCCTCAAAATAAAATAAAATAAAAATGGCCAAGCAGGCCCAGCAGTAGTGGGAGACGGTGGCGCTGGGCCATCCCAGATATTCAGACCGTATTTCATGCTGCCTGGGGCGCCCGTTTGCTTAGCCCGCCAAAAAGACGGAGAAGAAGCAAAGAAGACCGCTCTTTTTTCTTTTCTTTTCTTTTTTCCTCTCTCTCTTCGTGCTTCATCTTTGATCACAATTTTTGTTGGATCGATAGTTGGGTTCGTCCCTTTTTTGGGTTCCTGTTCCTGCGGCAATGGGCTGGCTGGTTCCTGAGGCGTTGGCAGACGGTAAAAGCAACTAGCACTGACTAGTTGAGGGTGAAATTTGCAAATGCACCGGCCATGGCTGGTGCAATGTGTCATGAAGAGAGAAAAAAGAAGGAAGTGGACTGATTTATTGAATCGACCGAGTTGATTAATGATCACTCGCCTCAATACCGAACAAGCGAAGAAACGACACCACGATGCCACGAGTGGATGGAGCAGAAGGCAAGGCAAGGGAAGGGGACGGGAATCGGGGGCCGAGACAAAGATATTATCTCGAATCCTCCTCTGGCCTGGCCGGCCATGCTCAGCTTCTTGTCTGGGGGTCTCCTCCGCCCACGCTCCATACAGTTAATTATCCTTCTGGGGGATTTTTCCAGTTTTATTTTAATTTTAATTTTAATTTTTTATATATTTTAGTTATCAGTGGCAGGAAAGAAGACGACGGATGGAGCAATGGGATATGCATTTTTTTTTTTTTCGCTTCGCTGGTGCCATGTATGTATCCTCCTGCCCACCCCTGGAGAAGATGAGGAGTTATGTGCATATATCTGACGTCCAACCTTATGATCAAGGGGGAAACGTTTCTCCCGCTGCTGGCCATGATGGATCTTCTGCGGGAGGGGTGCATATTGCATGGGAAGAGAGGGGGAAGGGGGGCTGTTTTGGTAGGTGATGAGTTGGCAGCAACGATATATATTAATAAATATACGTCTGGGTGGGCGGAGATGTTCTAACCCCAGCAATCTCCAATGCCACTCCAGAGTATATTTTTACATTTTTTTTTTGGCCTTGTATGTTACTCCAGTTAACTTCTCCTCGTTGGATCATCCCCCAGAGTCGGAGGGGAGTGGCATCTCCATGCGCTCCCCCATACCCCCAGGCCAGGTCAGGTCGACAGCAACCACCCCCGCGAACCGCCGGCCGGGGAACGTGAATATCCCATCCGATCGTAAATGCATATCCTGTCCTAGTAATCATCGACATAAAAGAGACGAGATGACGGAATTCGATCTCCAAATTCCCTCTCCTGACCATTAAAACTAACTACCGGATATCTCCCCTGTCTAAAGGGGCCTGTGATCTGCAAACTCCGACAACCTGCTCTGGAGGATACGGCTATCTCCGTACGGCCTATTTGCTCTGTAATCTCATATAGACGGGTATGGAGGTGCTAGTAAGTGCTAGTAAACCGGTTCATGTCATTGCTAGCGGCGCTATACAGGCGAGGGGCACTGGAGAACTTGGTGGCAGCCGCAGCTTATCTCTCCTCCTCCCCCTTCCCCTTCCCCCTGTTGACCAGAATCACTATATCGGCATGTATGCAAGTGCGTCTTCAGGCGAAGATGCATCCAGGTTACCCTGCATCATGAGGACTTTTTGCTCTTTGTATAGCAATGCTCTGTAGCTTTGCCGAGACAGGTAATCCTCAGTCGATGCATATAATAACGTATCTGTCGATCAGCCAGACAACACAGGCCAGCAGAGGTCACGGTCCGCTTCCCGCTCAACCATATTCCGTGTCATGGCCCTCTTATATTTCCTTTTTTTTTTTTTTCCTCCTTTTATTTTCTTTCCTCTTTGCTGGTCGGCAATTGAAGAGGATCATGGCTGGTGGTACACGGATGGATTCTGCGTCCTTTGTCCTAGATAGGCAACCAGCGTCGCCCGGCCCGAGCGAACTATATGGACGGCTCTTTAGTTAGTCTGTCTAGCAGCGTCTTGAACGCCTCAGCATGAAGTCAAAAAGCAAGCAAGCATAAAGCATCTAGTTAGGAAAAAGG